TCCCGCCGCCCACACCCGGAGCCGGGGGTAATTCGCAGGATTCGCCGGACGCCGCTTCCGGGACACGAGCCGACGGCGGAAGTGGGCGCGCGCGGTCTTCTGGGAACCGGGCGCTCAGGCACGCATGCGCGTCCGCATGCCGGGCGCGTCCGTGACGTCAGCCTCCCGTGCAGTCCTCCCGGCGCGCCCCGCGGGAACTTGGTGGAATGAACACTTAGTAGGACTCCAGCTCGGAGAGACGTCGCTTTGTGCATTGCTCTCCTTATTCCCGGCATCACCTGAAGGTTGACGGAGCTGTCCTAGGATGATGATGAGCGGGCGGGCGAGGTGGGGACCATAAAGGTGGCCTCCCAGCTCATCAAAGTCTAGGGTAGCGTCCAAAAGTTAGGAAAATAAAGAGAAGAGACTCAGGAAACTCTTTTATCTTGGGTGTGGCGTCACCCTATTGATAACATGCAATTCGAGATGGCCAGAACGGGTCATAGAAACTTTTACAGGTCAGTTGCCCATTTTCTCAGATGAAGAATGAGTCCTTCGGGTAATATAAACTTGGGTCTCCCGAACCTCTGCAGAGGTAGGTTCTGTCTCAAGCAGACCTATGTTTTCCTGACTTGCACACCCATTACACATCCAGATAAAAGCATCCGGGCGTCATTTAAGTCTTTAATATTTCTTGATTTACAGTATGCACAATTTCTAGAGGGAAGGAAGTGTCCAGTGCCGTGACAGCCCAGAGCAGTGGCCACTAGAGATAAGAAGGAAGCAAAACTATTTCTCCTGTTTGGGGAAACTTGCTGGCATTCGGTGTTTTCCTTGCTCCGTCGTGGGCTCATAAGCCCATTCCTGTCAGAACAGTAATGGAGGCGAGTTCTTTGGAGTTTTCGGAGCTCGTTGTACTGGTTGACATGCTCTGTTGTATCCTTGTCATGTTTCTCGCACACACAATCAGAAGCATTGTTGGGCATTTGTAAAAATCGTGCTATTAAAACGAAGGTTTCCGAGATGCAGCACCTGTTTCAGCATAAGGAAATCTTAGGGTTTCTACTGCTGAACACCATGACCAAAAGTAACTCGTAGAGGAGGAGGAGGATTTATCTTCCTTACACTTCCACATCGCATTACATCTCGTTGAAAGATGTTGAAGAAGGAACTGACGTAGAAACTATGGCTGAATACTGCCTACTAGCTTGTTCTGCTTGCTTTGTTATGGCACCACAAGTCAGTCTGGTGAGCATTTTCTCAGTTGAGGTTTCCTCTTCCCACATGACTCTAGCTTATGTCAAGTTTTTATAAAACTAGCCAGAACAATTGATTCCTATCCAGTTTGTCAGACAAGAACATCACTGTTAAACCATAACCTTTCTTCCTCATCCCCAAGATCTCATATAATATCAGTATTAAATACTTCAACTTTTAAAATTCCCGTTTTAAAATTCACACTGAAGTTTCAATGTCTTTAAAGTATCCAAAGTTTCTCTAAAATTCCAAAGTCTTGCCAAAATTCCAAGGTCTCTCCAAAATCTCTGTAAAATGCCAAAAATTTCATAACTGTGGGATCCTGTAAAATACGAACAATATATATGTATATGTAATATACAAACAAAATATATATGGTCTTACTCTACAAAGTAAGAACCAGGTATGTCACATCAGATCAATGCAACCTCCAAAATTCAATGATGTAAAAACGTCAGTGCTTGACATCTGGGACTCATGATGTTTTAGGCACCATATAGTTTGCCACAGCATGCAAAAAGTGTTTCCAAGACTCAGGCCAGCTCTTCTCCATGGGTGCTGCTGTCCTTGGTGGTTGATCCATGGTACTGGCATCACCAAAATTCTGGGTCTGCACTGTGACTGAGCTGCACTTTTACCAAAAACCTCTCCTGGGATGTCTTCAGGGACTCCAGCAGTGCCACATAGTGCCAAGACTCAGCTACTCTCCATAATCACTTCATGCCTTCAAAACCAGTCCCACCTGCAAAACTATTAGATATTACTAAGTTTGGCTGTCAGCAGGAGCCACCTCTGAAATAGTTTCTATGTGTTGACTCTGAGAAAGTCCTTCTTAGATTTTGCCTCAATGATGCTAATTTCTTCTCTTTTTTATTAATTAGGTTTATTCATTTATTTTACATCCTGACTGCAGTTTCCCCTTCCTCTCCTCCCATTTTCTCCCCCAATCTTCTGCCCCCCATCCACTCCTTCTCTGTTTCTGTTCAGAAAGGGGCAGGCCTTCCATGGTTGTCAACAAAGTGTGGCATATCAAGTTGAAGTAGGACTAGGAGCTCATATAGCTAGGCCCTCTACGTATGTGTGACAGTTGTGTAACTTGGTCTTGTGGGACTCCTAGCATTGGGAGTGGGTCCTGTCCCGAACACTTTGGCTGGCTTTTGGGATTTATTCCCCATACTGGGTTGCCTTATCTAGCCTTAATTTGAGGGGAGGAGCTTAGTCCTACCTCAACTTGATATGCTGGTTTCTTCTTAATCACAGCCTATTCTCAGTCCCAGATGACCAGTATGGATTATCCAACTGAAGGAAGGTTTTATTTTTAGTGATTCTTTTCTTTTCTTTTCTTTTCTTTTCTTTCTTTTTTTTTAAACCTGGCTTGTCACCAGCATTTAGATAATCAGACCTAGGTAAAGAACAAGGTCTGGGGACACATTTATGGTCTTACTATAGTGAATGTCTAGCCTGTCCTGATTATCATAGGATCAGAACTGTAGTTAGTTATTTTTAGTGACTCTTAATTCAAAGTGTCACATAAATAGCCCTGATAGAGTCTTTGTTTGATCTAAAACTTCAAAGTCAGGCCTATATTGTCTACATTGTTTTTGAAATTCTTATCTGTAGAATACTTGTTTAACTCTGTAAAAATGTGTTGCATTTGTTTAACTATGTAAAGATGTATATGTTGCATTTGTTTATGTTACAGAATACATTTTTTTTGTCGAGACAGGGTTTCTCTGTAGCTCTGGAGCCTGTCCTAGAACTAGCTCTTGTCGACCAGGCTGGCCTCGAACTCACAGAGATCTGCCTGCGTCTGCCTCCCCAGTGCAGGGGATTAAAGGTGTGCACCATCACTGCCTGGCATGTAACAGAATATTTTTTTAAATATTTTTTTTTATTTTTGTATACAATATTCTGTCTGTGTGTATGTCTGCAGGCCATAAGAGGGCACCAGACCTCATTACAGATGGTTGTGAGCCACCATGTGGTTGCTGGGAATTGAACTCAGGACCTTTGGAAGAACAGGCAATGCTCTTAACCACTGAACCATCTCTCCAGCCCCTAACAGAATATTCTTAACTATGTAAAGATGTGTTGCCGTTTTACCTTGCCTGCCTAAGACACCTGATTAATCTAACACAAAGCTGAATGGCCTATAGCGAGAGAGGAGGTATAGGCAGAGTTTCCAGGCTGGGAGATTAATTAGGAGGAGGAATTTAGGCTCAAGAGGAAGAAAGAAAAATAGACACCAGAGAGAGACACCAGGGGTCAGCCAGTTAGATGTGGAGGAAGCAGGAGATACAGAATGAAAGAAAGGTAAAGCCCCAAGACAAAACATAGATGAATAGAAACAGGTTAAATTAAGTTAAAAGAGCTAGTGGGAGCAGCCTATGCCAAGGCAGAGCGTTCATAATTAATAATATGCCTCTGTGTCTTTATTTGAGAGCTGGTTGGTGACCCAAAGAAAATTCCAACTACACTTGTTGTCCAAGCTCACACAGAACTGCTCAGTGAACTTTGAGCATTCAATGGCTTTTCAAGCCCACAGTTCAGGTGCTTCTATAATCCTACTGAAAGCACATAGTCAGGTCTGTAACGACAATCACCTGCTTATGGTAGCAATTTCCTTCTTCGAGGTTTATTTATTGCAGTGATAAACATTGTGACCAAAAGCAACTTGGAGAGGAAAGGATTTATTTTGCTTACACTCCCATAGTACAGTACATCATTGAAGGAAGTTAGGGCGTGAACTCAGGAAACCTGAGGTAGGAACTGAAGGAGAATCCATAGGGGACATTGCTTCCTGGCTTACTCCCCATGCCTTGCTGAGCCTGCTTCCCTATAGCACCCAGAATCACCAACCCAGGCGGGGGGCACTGCCACATTAAACATTAATCAAAAAAATGCACCACAGACTTTCCCACAGACCAAATCTAGTGAGATGATTTCTTCCCCAAAGACTCTAACTTGTGTCAAGTTGAGATTAAACTAGTCAGCACATGGTTTGGGAGGGTTCGCAGGGGAACTAGCTTTGTCTGAACAGGTGGGAGCAGAATTTGAGGATGCAAAGCCTGCTATAAAAGAAGTCAGGGGTAGTGCGGGTCACAAACCCCTATGGGGCTGGAGCAGAGTCATTAGATCCATCTGAGACTCCCTGCTCCTCACACCGTTGTCAGATGAATCTCCTCTTCAGAGTCACTTATTCCTGTTTTTGTCAGCTCTGCAGTGTTGTGATCTCACTCGTGTAACCCTCATGCTCACGAAGTCTACCATCTCTTGCTCACAGGTTATTCTTTCTATTCCAGACAGCTATGAATGAACCTAGGGTCTTCAGTAGCCTGGTGAGGTAAGGCTCGTCGGATCTACAAATGCCAAGATGCAGGGAGGCCTCAAAAGTGGGATTCAGAACCCAGAAGCTCCAAGAATTCCCACCATTCTTCAAATGACAGATGAAGTGGGCTTAGTGGCATCTTGGTTACTGCCAACCTCGGCTGTCACTTGGGGATCTCACCAAGCAAGAGCCTGTGCATCTGCACAGATGTCCTGAGAGATTTGCTGTGATGAATCTTGCTATATGCACTTGGGGCCGGGACTGATGTCTTCACAACCCCCTACCCTGTTTGGGTCTGGCATCAGGAGGGGGCTCCAGCATCAATCCCCTTGTGATGCTGACCACTGAACCTGGCTGCTGAGCTCGGTCAGCATGTGACAGCATTTCAAGTTGGCACCCTTTGGCCAACACCGGTTCTAGCACAGCCCTTTGAATTTACTGTTTGTCCCTCAACATTCTTCACAGGGCAGAAAGTTATTACTCGATCTCCAGAAATCAGTGTCTAACCTTTGCTGGTCTCCTGCCCTCATAGCCCATCCAGGCTCCGGCACTCTAGACAGCTGGGTATAATTGAAGAGTAGGTGGCTGTGAGTGCTCAGGCATTAAGGAATAATACACATTTCCAGTACTGACTTCAGCCTCATGAATATTGGTCACACTCCAGCCAACAGGGAGCAAGGATGGCCAAGCATTTGTCAGAATACTGGAGAGGCTGGAGATGGCTCAGCAGCTAAGAACATGTACTGTTCTTGGTCTATGTTCTCAGAACCCAAGTTCAGCTCTAGGGAGATCTGATGGTCTGGATGTCTGTGGACATCTGCACTAACTCTCTGTCTTTCTCTTCTCTCTCTCTCTCTCTCTCTCTCTCTCTCT